CTCGGAGCCTGATGTTGTTCTGTTATTAGGAGATGATGAAAAGCACCAGTGCGAGCTGTTTAGTAGCCCTCAGAGCTCTCAGGTTCTCGACGCGTTGCTGCTGACAGTCACCGGCGTCGTTCTTTACTCGTACGCTCCGCTAGAGAAATGGAGGGTGTAGGTGTTTCTGCATTTCGCTCAACAAAGCTGTGTGGTTTGTTTAAGGCGGGCTATGTGTACGTTCCTTAGCACATGGGCCTCGTTTCTCGTTCTGATGATCGTCTCGCCGCTGCTCCCGCTCCGGATAGAGATGCACGCGCACCTGCAGTTGAACGTCATCTGGCTGTGTTTCCTCAACAGCTTTTCCGTCGCTTTGGCTCTGTGCGGTCGCTCTTTTACATCGAGTTCCAAGAACAGCGACACCATTACAGATGGTTTTTGTTCCTGGTACTTTTGTTTTACATGTGGAGCTGACGAGTGGAATTATGGACAACAATCCAGTGACCGCACTCAAGTTAAAACACTACACGATATCTGACCATGTTTACTCAGGAGAAGGCGTTTCTTCTTCTTCTGCGCTTTCGTGTTTGCATTAAAAAAAAGGAAAAAAGAAACACCTTTGGGTTTGTAAATTACCTTTTTTTTTTTTTTTGCACAAATGATTCGTCTCTTTACTATGAGAAAAATAAATATTGGACCAGCACCTTTTACCAGACTGATGTAAAAACTGTTTTCTGCTTCAAACTTAGAGCTAACCAGTACAAGTGCTTTTCTGTCTATATATAAATAAACCGAACCCATGAAAACTACAAGGACGTATATTTACATTTGAACTAGCTAGCAGTCTAGCCGGTTTATTCACTCCCCAATACTATTGCGGGTTAAGAGCATTTACTAAGACAGCATTAGAGAAAGATGATCTTTTGAGTAAAAAATATGATTCATGAAAATGGCAATCTGAAATGCATGATTTATGAAAACAATGTCCATCTGACATACATGATTTATTAAAACAATGTCCATCTGAAAAATATGATTCATGAAAACGTTTTAATAAATCATGTATTTCAGATTAACAATTTCCATCTGAAAAATATGATGATTTATTAAAACGATGTCCATCTGAAAAATATGATTCATGAAAATTTTAATCTGAAATGCATGATTTATGCAAACAATGTCCATCTGAAATACATTATTTATTAAAACGATTTTTTTTAATAAACTCAATTTACTCAACCCTATGTCGTTTTAAACTTGTATGTCTTTCTTCTGCGGAACACAAAATAAGATTTAACCCTTTAAAGATATGAAATAATAGTCAGACAAATCAATTTTTTTAATGGAGTTTTAAAAATGTTTTAATTAATAAAGAGTTTATTGAAACTTTAGACAAAATATAAAAGAATATATATATATATATACACACAGTGCATATAAAAAAAGTATTCATACCCCTTCTTTTTTTTTCACGGTTTTTTTATGTTGCATCCTTGTTAAACTGCTTTAAATAACTTTTTTTTTCCACATCAATTTACACTCCATACACCATACTGACAAAGCAAAAAACAGATTTGTGACAACTTTGCAAATTTATTACAATTCAAAAACTGAAATAAGTACATTGCATAAGTATTCATACCTTTAACGCGGTACTTAGTTGAAACACCTTTACAGTCTCAAGTTTTTCTGGTATGATGTGACAAGCTTTACACATCAGCATTTGGCAATTATCTGCTATTCTTCTCCTCGCTGCTACCAGCACACTTTACTTTTGGGATGCTACTCTGCAGGTGATGAGCAGAGCTGGTTTCCTTCAAACATGACGCTTGGAATTGAGGTTCATCAGACCAGATAATATCGTTTCTCACAAGTTCTTTAGGTGCTTTGTTGCAAATTCCAAGTGTGTTTTCATGCGTCTTCACTGAGGAGAGGCTTGAGTTTGGCCACACTCAAGGATGGATATCATGGATAAAGACCGGATCGGTGGAGTGTTGCAGTGATGTTTGTGCTTCTGTAGGTTTCTCCTATCTCCACATATGATCATGGAGCTCAGCTAAAGTGACCATCAGGTTCTTGGTCACCAGTCTAACCAAAGCCCTTCTCCATCA